AAGAGCGACGGTGTCTCCCTACGCGTTAATTACAAAAAAAATGTACAGAAATTGGGAGGGGGGAGGATCCCCGTCTATGAAAACAAAAAATACATTTGACACACTCCTAGGGGTTCCTCTCCCCACAGTACAACTCACAGAAAAAGTAATCTCCAAAAATACAGGTATACCCAAAACCAAAAAACAAAGACCCAAAAATAGGTAAACCTGTGTTCTTGTGTAACTCGATATGTAAAATAGAAAAAAATGTACAAAAAGTGTTTTCAGATTAGTAGAATTCTCCAAAAGCATCTCCACGGGCATACCAAAACCATTTGAGAAATAGGAGTGTAGTGCAGAGAGATCCAGAACATACGCCGTGAGATCAAAACAATAACAGGAATCAGAAACAGGGAGCAGGAGGACTGAAAGCAAGCCTACAACAAAACATTGAAACCTGCCAAACAAACTAAAAACCCGCAAGAGGAGAAATGCAGCTCCCATCCATCAAACCAAGAGCAGTCCCACATTAGAGCCAAGAAGCACAAATAATTAGATACGGACATAAGGCAGGTTTAAGTTATCCCCAATGAGGAGGCGTATAAGAGGAGCAGGGGGTAGATGCCGACGTGACAGACCTCCCCTGCATGCTTGGCAAGCCAATCAACAGAGTTGCCCTCTCTATGAATGAATTTCCACTTTACCTCAAGATGCCTTTCAACTATAAAAGTTAAAATACGTTTAAAAGTGCAAAATATATCCCAGAGGGGAGGAAATAACCAAAAGAATATCATAGAGCATTTTAGAATCAGTTTCCACCTCAATTTTATGAAAGTTGAAAACACTAGCCACCATTAAGATCAGAAAAAATCCCAGCATTCTGTGGCCAATGGATTATCAGCGACAACAGGGGAGGTGAAAAAACAGAGACACCTATTCTCAAAATCTCTAAATATGCCCCCAATCGCAGCATAATCAAGATGCCAACAGCCATCCACATTTAATTTAACAGAACTCGGGGAGGGGGGAGCCCACCTAATGAGCCTGGGGGGCCTTAAAACAGGAACATCAATAGAACATGCCCTTAAGACTGTAGTAGGCAAGCACATAAGCAACAGTCATAGAAGCAGTGGGGGGAGAAGTGTGGTATTTAAAACTGTTTCTGAAGTTTCAGAGAAACCAAAGGACCAACAAAGGGAGGGGAAACCCCCCCTTTCTAACATCAAAATCCTTCTATTGCCACAAGTAGTTGCTTAAAGTGACTCTATGCACCCATGAGGTTCCGAAATGAGAACCACGCATATTCCAAACCTTTAAAGAAAAGGCACATTCAAAGAAAATGTGTCTCGTATCTTCCTCCTCAACTTTGCACATATGACATCTCGAGGCCATTTTTAAGTCTCTTAACTTAAGAATGTCATCAATGAGTATTAAAGAGGTAAGATAGCGCCAAAGGAAAAAGGATATAGAGGGAGTTAAAAATTTATGCCAAATCCATTTTCCTCATATCCAATCACGGTGTGAATGTAAAGTGCTATAAATAAGTTTGCAAACCGATTGAGAGTTGTTTCTTTTCCACATGGAGAGATCCTTTCGTGAGGGTGTAATAGGAATAGTGAGTATATGCTTTGCATTTTGCTCCCCTGCAATAGATCACAATTTGGAGAAATCTCAGTCATCATGAGTAAAGAAATCAGAAACCAATAAGAAATTAGTATGAGTAGGGTGTGAGTATTCAGAGAGGTGTGACAACCCCCAATTATCATTCCAGAAAGAGATATTACCATCTCCTATGTCCCAAAACATGAAATCATTAGCAGTGGTACGATCATTTACAACAGCTTTCCAAATACGGGAATCACCAATCTTCCACGAAACTAGTGAAGGATGAGTATGAGCACAATTTT